AGCGCCCCCTGCTCCCTGCCCCACAGCGCCCCCTAGCGCCCCATGGGGCCAGTCCTGCCTGCCAGGGGAGAGCGCGCCCTGCCCCACAGTGCCCCCTGCTGCCTCCGCCCCGCTCCCTGCCCCACAGCGCCCCCTGCTGCTCTGCTCCCTGCCCCACAGCGCCCCCTAGCACCGCCCTGGGGCCAGCCCTGCCTGCTGGGGGAGAGCGCCCCCTGCTGCCCCCGCCCCGCCCCGCGCCGCACAGCGCCCCCTAGCGCCGAAGCAGGACCTAGGCCATGCACGGCCCGTGCTCTGGCCCCTCGCGTGGGGCGAAGCCGCCTCTCACCTGCGGGCTCCCGGCTCTTGGCCTCCTTCAGGTAGAGCAGGGCGCGGGCGTAGTCGCCGAGGTGGTAGGAGGCGATGCCCGCCCGGTACGTGGCTTTGAAGTTGCTGCGTTGTTTCTCCAGCACTTTCAGGCAGTATTCCCGCACCCGCTCGTAGTTCACCAGCTCCGACTGCAGCAGGCAGGCTGGGGGCAGAGGGGCCGTCAGTGGGGCTGGGGACGTGACGCCCACCCCCTGGCCGCTGCGCTGCGGGCCCCAGGAGAGCCGGGCTCCGTTTGCTCACGTCCCCCCTGCACGCAGGAGGGCAGCGAGTTCAAGGGGCCGGCGCGGCGCTTTGAGATCCCTGGCGGGGCGGGGCTGCCCCCCCGCCACTCTCCTGCCCCACAGCTCTGCCCCCTGGTCTGGCTTTGGAGTTCAGCTGCCAACCCAGCAGCACGTGCGGGCACCTGGTGTGCCAGGCGCTGCCCAGCCCCGGGCCAAGACCAGCCCCGAACCCCCAACCTGCAGCCCCCTGCTTCCCCCGCCCTGGGATCCCCCCCAGCTTTGCCAGTGCCCCTCACTCCCGACCCGCAGCCCCTGCTAGCCCAGCCCTGCCCCCCCCCACCAGCCCTGCCAGTGCCCCTCACTCCCGACCCGCAGCCCCCTGCTAGCCCAGCCCTGCCCCCCCCCACCAGCCCTGCCAGTGCCCCTCACTCCCGACCCGCAGCCCCCTGCTAG